ACGAATAGGTTTTGCTAAAATCACGAAAGCCTATGCGGGGGCCAACTCTGGCGGTAAAAATCGCGCGCTTTACGCTCGACGCGTACCGTTCCCGTCGGGTTCGGGTATTTGTGATGTATGTATAATACAATTTAATACTCATCCCAAATGTTTATCCCACAAATAAATTCTTCCCAATTTACCACCCCTGACACCTACTCACCCTGTCCTTTTAATCATTGCAATAGAATTTGTGTAGTTGTTGCGAATATCACCAAGAGAGACCAAAATTAATATACGACCCCTTGTTTATAATGTATAATTTCTATGCTGTGTTCACCCAGGTGAACGAGTCGGTCACTCATGAATATCACTCATTTTACAACCAAATAGTCACCTGACTCAAAATCTTTAACCACAATTCAGATATGAATAACGAGTACACTTTTGCCCGTATAATATAAACGTATCACCTATCGTTATATATAAAGAGGTTTACTTTTACCTCAAAATAATATGGATATGTTTGTAAATATATGTGGTGTGTACTGTAAAAATCACTCTCCCATAGTACTCCCATATTAAACTATTAAGGATTGTATTATATTTAAAACGGGTTTCTAATAGTATAATAGATGTGGTTTATAGGATCGTTCTGCTCCCGGCCCCCACCTAATGGGATTTAATATGGGATTCCAGCTTAAGTCTATGGCTATACTTTAACATATGTAATGCTAATTCTATGGAGCTTTTCTCATAGACTTAACATGCGTTAATGTTATCCTATTGGTAATGTTAATCCTATTGGACAGCGGAATATGAAGTGAAAGGATAGTTTTACTCCATGTTAATCCTATGGGACTAATGTAAAGTTATTGAAAGAATGCTTAAGCATGGGTTTCTATGGTATTACAGTTGATGTCTATGAAATAGATTTAACATGGATAATGCTAAGTTAATGGGATTAATTTTATGGATAATATTGATCGTATAAAACTAATGCATATTAACCCTATGGACTTAGTGCTAAATCTATGACAAATCTATTGTATTTATATTAAATCTATTGACAATGCTAATCTATCTTTTGTGCAATAACCAAACTGTAGATAACGTATAGCATCTCGTGTGAACCTTGTTTTATGCTATAAAGATTTCCCGACATACCTCAATATATGTGTTCCCTAGTAATCGCCAAATTCCCGCGGCCAAAAGTATATGACATCTTTTATATATTGTATTTTTAAATGCATTGATTATTTGGGTCCAAAATAATTTGTGACCAGGGTGATTCTGGTGGACCTTTAATACAGTATGCAAATGGAGTGGCAGTGGTTATTGGGATCGTTGCGAAAATAGGCGTATTTCCGGGCGGAAATTGTTTGGCGTCGGATGAAAGGGCGCGCATAACTGCTGTTCGGGTCTCGCATCACATCCAATGGATAATCAATACTATTTATAGTAACAATAATTAGTAATTGATTATCATTTGTAAAGATTTGTTTTCTATTGACAGTAAGGTTTAAAATTTGTTTTTGGTTGAAATACAGAATTTATTTTTTACATGCATATGTTAATATTTTATATGGGATTTAATATTATTAAGTTTAAATTATTTAAATTAAATAAAATATATAAATATTTTTATTTATACTTATTTCATGTTTGTTAATGTTAGTAACAATAATATAGTTTTATATAAACAATAAATATGATAACACTCATTAACTATGATTAAATACAGAATTGTAATCGATGCTAAGTTATTACATAATGTTGCAATTATTATATAAAGTATTAATAATACATTAAATAATACTTTATATTCACTTTTATAAATTTAATAACTTTTTAATATTGTAATTAAAAATATTCAATAAACTATTATTGCAAATTATATAATAAATCTCATAACAATATTTAATTACTCCAATAATATAACTTTACAGCATTTTTATCATTGATATTTTAAAAACGTTTAGAATAACGTTTGTATAATTTCCATAAAAACATTGCGATAAATACAATAATAAATATAATGATTATACCAATTGTTATCACTTCTAATGAACTAAACGATATGTTTGGAGCAGTCGGTGGCAAATCGGTGTCAATTGGAGGCCATTTTTTGAAAACTGTTTTGTCGATAACATTAGCTGGTTGTGTGGTAGAATCACCAAGCTCAACTATTTCGGTATATGTCTCTATTCCAGTAGATCCACGAAATATCCCATTTTCATTGACAACAATTGATTGGTTATTAATTATTATATCATTTTTGTTGCCGTATTTACTAATCAATATATATAATGCCAATCCATTCAATGGTATCGCTTGCGGGCCATATCGTGGATCAATAGCTGTATAGATACGGATAGCCTTAAACTGAAGCTCCAAATCATTCACACATTTAATATATCCGTTGACGGATACACTAGTATACGGGTTGACACGTATTTCCGTTTTTAACTTAAACAACTTGCGCTGAGAAACAGTACTGGTATTGGTAATGGTGGACAGGTATCGGAATGTCTTGGTCACATCAGAGTCAATGGTTGTTCCTAGATGCAATTTCACAAAACTAAACAAGCTAATAATTAAATTTGCTGAGATTTGTGTCTTGGTTCGGGTGGATTCGCTGCTTTCAAATGTGTTTTCCATATGTATTTCACATTTTGTTTCAGTTTCCGTTTGTGTGTCAATTGATTTCTAAACAAGCTAATAATTAAATTTGCTGAGATTTGTGTCTTGGTTCGGGTGGATTCGCTGCTTTCAAATGTGTTTTCCATATGTATTTCACATTTTGTTTCAGTTTCCGTTTGTGTGTCAATTGATTCAATGAATTGTGTGTTCGCTTTGTTTTTGATTGTTTTTGTGTAAAACAGATCCGCTGTTAACGCTTTGCCGAACGATTCCTCCAATTTCTCTTTCTTTTTAAAATAATTTAAACGAATAATACATTTAGTAATTCATTAAATCAAATAATTAAATATTATAAATATCATTAGCATACCGTAATTGATGGGAGTAAGGCTATTTGGTTCAATTTGTTTGTTATTTGATATAGTTTGATGTCCATCATAGTTATTTTTAATTTTATACGATATTCCCTCATCCCTAATTAATTAGTAAAAACAAATTACTAGTGACTATCAATTGATATAATTTTTATAGCATAACAATAAGCATAATCAGTGATTATTAATTATATGATTATTATATTATATTACAGTATATTATTATATTAATATGATTATTAATTACTCACATGAACTATAACCATCTGCAATGGCGTTGACAATAAATACATCGTTTTGCTTATTAGTATTCTTGATTTTATTGCCAGTTATAAACAAAATAGGATACTTTTTACCATTTTTATTAATAATGTAAACCAGTCTAGTGTACATATTTCTACCCAATTTAAAACTGACCATGTTCCAAATATCAGATGGATTAGTTTGGCCATTCAAGTTAAACCATGAAAATTTTAATAGTCCCAAATCTTCAACAGAATAAAGTACATGTTCGTAAATACCACTACTTGTCCCATCCTGGTATTTTATCTCATAATCAGATATGTTCGCCCAAGTAAGTGATGGACATAAAATTATCAATATATAAATAATTATTGCGGATTGGTTATAATGCATATTCAACAGTTATAAAATTTATATTGTTGAGCTTTAAAACAGAATACTATACAATATATTTGATATTAATTTTATACACAAAATAACTAATGATTTGAATCCCAATTATTATATACGAGCATATAAATTGTTTGAATATTTTTATAAGCATTCATTTTGTGGGAAAATATTTTAAATTTTATGTACAGTAAATTATTAATTTAATTATTATTGTAAGAATAAAAATTAAAATATTTATTTTAGTTTGAAAAGTGAAATGTTTCATGTAAAATGAATTTTGTGAAACAGTTTTGTTTCATTTCATACTTACATTTCACACGTACTTTATATCTCAATTTAACATACAATAGGCTGTTAAGAGAGCAGAGTTGACACAACAGTATAATTCATGACCTTGTTGACATAAAAATTGTTTGGTCATTTGTTTTTGTGTTCTCTCTCTCTCTCTCTCTCTCTCTCTTGGCATAGAAGGCGCACATAATTATTTGATCCAAATGTCTGTCACGCATGAGATCCGTGTGCTGTCGGAGAGAGTGCTCAAAACAAGTCCAGATCTTTTTGCGAATGTCTTCATCGCATATGTTTAGGCGTTCGCATAAATCTCTAAGTCTGAGTCCAGCCATTGTATATACCTTTAGGAGACAAATATATTAATGAAATACTGATACAAACGGTCACAACTTTAAATACAAACCTTTCTGAAGAATAGGCCAATCGGTCCGGACTTCATTGGTTTACCATTTTCAGTGACCGGCGATTCTATTTGATTGGTTGTGTTTTGCGCGATAGTCAGAGCAATAGCCGGCACCTGAATGTACCGAATCTCTCCATTCTGTGTATTGGCTATTAAAACAGTTATATTAGTTAAAAGTACATACAAAACGAAATGACAATAACAAACCCGGAATCATCATTTGCACGATATGTCCCATTTGTGAGGCACCGGCCGTTGAAGTGGTCGGCGCGTCGGCTTTCATCGAACCGAAGAGTTGTCTTTTGGCAGTACTCTTGAACGGAGAACTGAATCTATCGGTTATAGAACCCGTAGAAAACTGAATCTCATGTTTCTTGAGATGAGAAACCGGAGAAT